TAACGGTAAAAGTTGACAGGCTTTGAAGTCTGGCGTCTCTCCTTTGTTATCTTCAAAGGACAGGTATCAGCCTAGCGATTGGTCTTTTTTTTACCTGAGACCAATCAAACAGCTATTTTCGTGCCTTCAATTTTGCCATGACATATCCCAGGGGTGTAGAGAGCGAAAGTGAACGTAACCCCTGGATATCGAGGATGGGGACAATGTGACAGATATCGACAACATAGACAAATGTGTGGACGACTTGACAAATATACTTTTATCTACAGCGAAGGCGTGTATTTCTAAAAAGAATCATCACTGTCGGGACGCATAATTTTGCATAATAATTCATTTTTTTCAGCATGATGACTTTGACAAAGCGAGTATTTTTAAACGACTAGTTTTGCTCCCAAGCTACTGTAAACGACTCTAACGTTCCACTCCCCAACATAGTTAGAGTGTGTGACAAGCGTTTAGTTGACATTACTATTTCTCCTATTAGACTGTTCTAAAGCCGTCAGAACTGGCCTTATTAATGCACGACTCTTGAAAGAAGCTATTCGTATTATTAGTGACCCATTGAGTAACATAATTTCCCAAAATATGGAAACAGGCAAATGTTACGCCCGTCTATATAAAGGGTGACAAATAGTCCCCTTCAAATTATAGACCAATTTCTGTAGTATTGGTAGTTTAAAAACCTATGGAACGGTGTGTGTACAATCATGTATAATAACTTTGTCATAGAAAATTCCCTCCTATCGCCCAATCAGTTTGGTTTTGGACGCGCCTCCAAATCAGCTTCTTTCGGTCGTTCGTTATATAACCTCGGCATTACAATATAGACAAAGGCAAATAAATTCGTTTGGTATTCTGCGACATAAACATAAGGCCTTTTTTTAATTATCAAGTTTTGGTATTGATGGAAATTTGTTGAAATGGTTTAAGCACTACTTATCACATCGTACCCAAGAGTCGTTATAGATGGCAAAACGTCAAACTGGCGTGATGTTACAGCTGGTGTTCCCCCAAGGGTCTATATTAGGCCCTTAATTGTTTTCTTATTTTTATAACTGACTTTGTTACAACGACATCGAAGCAATAATTAAATTATTCGCTGACGATACGCCCCTATATACTATTGTGAACACATCTGTGGCTAGTACAGACCTCATCAATAGAGATCTGCATAAAATATGTTCGGTCCAGAAGATGGCTCGTAGACTTCGATCCTCTTAAAACTGAAGCCCTAAAATTTAGTAGAAAAAATGGACGTTTAGGTCACCCTCTTCTTTCCATGAACGATAACAAACAAACATCTCGGTGTCTACTTATCTGACAATGGCGCTTGGGACGACCATTTGAATTGCATTATAGTGAAAGTAAATTTAAGTTTTCTCTTGACCGTCAATCACTTCAAACTATGTATTTTTCGTTCATCTGCCCAGTATTAGAATAGCCAGACATTGTATGGGACAATCTAACAGTTGCTCAAATAAACCGTTTAGAAAATCGAAATTTAGAGGCCGCACGTATCGTAACGGGAGGAACTAACAAGAGTTACTTATATCGGGAAACAGGATGGCAAACCCTTACCAAAAGACGTCAAGCTCACAAAATATTTAAATTTCATAAAATGGTACATGGATTGGTTCCCCCTTACTTACAAGATATCCTCCCAAATAGAAATGCTGATGTACATAATCCTACTACTACAGATGTTGATAAATTTCGTCCAATCTTTTTGTCGCACTACTCAGTTTAAACATTCGTTTATTCCGGATCCGTCCGTCCTAAAATGTTGGTTTACACTAATGGATTTTATTTTAGGTAATCGTCAAATACAAGTTGCTAAAATCCTTACAAATATCCTACAGGATACAAGAGTTTGTGAACAAGAATTTGACGGTGTATTGTCAAACGCATTACAAATGCAACGTTGTTTACCAGAAAAAAATAGCCGCCCACATATTCTATTTTTAATGAACCAATACACAGGCAAATTTTGTTCACGTGAATTTCACGTGAAATTTTTCTCGTGAAGTTCACCTGAAACGAGCTTATACATGAAATTCACGTGAAATTTTTCATATGAATTTCACGTGAATTTCACAAGAAATTCATGTGAATTGAGATTTCATGTGAAATTCACGTGAGTTCCATGTGAAATGAGTTTCACGTGAAATTCACGTGAACAAAATTTGCCTGTGTAACAAACAGTATGAACTACAAACACTTCCATGTGCTGAACAAACGCAGAATATCTTTATCAAAACATAATAATGCTTAAATCCTTATAACTTTTTAAGAATTCAATAGACAGAAAATATTGTGGGAATACAGGTTTCTAGCCTAAGTGTTTGTTTTACTGTTTTCCATGTGTATCCCTGTATTGCCATCCTAGTGTAACAAAAGATTCGGTACGGCTATTCTATCAGCGTATGTAGCGATATTACTGGTGCAGTCTATTTATTTACATGGGTGTTTACTTTTGAGACGACCGGATGTTGGGGACTTACCTGAAGAGGTTCTGGGCTCACTGCGCATACGCCATAGATTAAGCCAATCGGAATGGGTGTCCGATATATGTTACATAGGGCCAGGAGGCTAGGGTTTAAAAGGGGATGCACAGGCAGAATCAGAGACTTGCGTGGCCGGAAACCCGACTATATCAGGAGAGGAAAACCTCTCCATCCATGCGCTGAAAACAGTGCTACCATAGGCGCTGAAAACAGTGCTACCACGTTAGGGAACGTTAGGGCTGGTTAGTTGAACGTATATCAGTATGCTGGGAGGGGTTGGTTTTCAACGTCATATATAATTACTTATAGGCCTTATTTTACCACGTGGGTGCTGATATATGTAGGTTTACTAAACATACGTTCTTTTCTACACACTGTAGGGTTTGTTCTGTCTTGTATTATATGCTACTGTTATTAATGTACGTATTCTTTGCCGTGTTTTTAACGGCTACCTTAGCCGTGTGATATGTAATAAACTTTAGTTAACTTTGAAACACGGTGTTGATTGATTTATAACTCGGATACTCCTCCACATCTGACGGACCTGTGTCTGACTGTACAGGCGGACGCACTATTTTACTGGGGACATTCTTGGGGATTGCCGCCGGCCAGCTTGTCGGTAGTTTTGAGGAAAACATAAATTACTATACGATCACTTTCATCTACCGACGCTGGGCAGGCTCTCCCCACAGACGTCCTATTACAATATATTTACAACATGTACATGTCTTACACTTAGAATAAGTCAGTTTTGTTTATGACCATTGAACAGATAAAGCAAAAGTACTTCTCGAAACAATACGCGGGGATTACGACGAGGAGCTGCAGGGTAGCACGCTCGCCTTTCACCTGGACGTACGATCGTTGTTCGATTCCCCGTGGTCATGATACGGTATAGGATCACCTGCCCGACAACGTGGATTTTCTCCGGTTCTTGGTTTTCTTACATTAGACAACCTGTGCACTTCGGCCCGGGCCAACAAGAGTTTTTATTTGATAGAAACTTGTTTCATTATTGCTGTAAATTATAAAGTTTCATTTAATTTAATTTAAAACATGTAAGGGAAAACTTTCAAACAAAAGTTAGAATGGAAATCAATGGCGCATTCACTAACCCATTCACCCGGAGCTTGATGCGCAGTGTGTAAAGATCTAGAGAATAAATGGATATCCAAAATTAATTCAAGTCAATCAATACTTAATAAATTGAACACTCCTTACAAAGGTAGCTACGCATACATCATCACAATGCAGTGACAGTCTTTTATATGTAGCAGAGCGCTATCTGGCTTACCGGTTCACTCCGTGTTATATTATCTTTAACCTGTGACGGGGAAAATTTTGCAGTTTGTTAGCTCCAGCAAGGACCATTTAAACATGATTTTTTTATCGGATTTTAATGATGAAGCTATGGGCGCCTGTCTCATATAATTGTATATTTTTGCTCATAAATGTTAAATTTATTATGTTGTTGTATATGTTGCCATTTACTTGGCCGACTTCACTGTTCCCTAACGCGCTAGAAGCGAGTTCGTTATGATATGCACAGCAGTATGATTAGCAGAACGTGGTAATTAGACAACAACGTTGGTGAATACGCTTCTGTTCATTATGATTTCTAATTATAACTATATCGTTACAACAGTATAAGTATCGTGAAAAAATACATATCTTCTAATGGATGTTTCTTGTAATGGATGTTTCTAAAACTACTCTTACCATTGTCCCACTAAAATATCAACGAAGAACTATAACTGCTTTACGTCTCCCCGAAATAATTCCTAGTGCTTTTTATTATTGGTAGCAATCGCCAAAGAAAACCATTTCATAGCGTTTTGAAATAATTAATCAATCATTGAAATGAAGTTGAGCTTCAATTAATTACAGTGAAAAACTCGTCATCGGCGCTCTATATCTTACTCAAAGTCGTATCACCGTCCCACTAAAATAACTAGGCTCTATGTGCTACTTTTATCATTGCCCCATTAGTTCACAACAGAATGAATCGCGTGAGAAACAATCCATTTGGTTTTTTGTTCCCCAGCCCCTTTCAAGAATGGAGGAGTTATTTCCCTTATTGGTAATTGTGATGAATAAATCCCGAGGAATTCCGAAAAAAAAAGCAAATATATTGTTTGATCATTTTTGGAAATGATCCGTAATGGGACGATGGTAAGATAAAGCCAGTTTGCTTATGTTACTAAATTTGTTTTTATGAGTGTACGCATTTGCTTGGCATTTGAATAATTTTGAATATTCGAATAAATCGAATGAAATAATAACTGCTCCCGGGAGATGTTATTATATTGGAAACACCATGACGTTCTGTACGATATTTTTGCTTATCTTACAAATATGATAACTCACAGATATCTTTAAAGGTAACTTAGACAACAAGCGGAACCAGGAATATATAATACTTAGCACAAATAACCAGCTAGGCCTAGGACCCATCGGCTAAAATATATGTAAACCGGAAGTTGTTCCAACGCCATATCTGTTTTTCAGCGGGCGAAAGGTGACTGCTGACTTCATCCTGACGATTTATCTCTGACATCAGCTTCAGCATATAACATCCGTTCAAAAAGTATGCCATGCAGAATTCCATGATTTGATTAGATGCTCTTCCTGTTTGAAATGTTACATAGCCTTATTGTTGGACTTTCAGAACGAATACGCAGAAAATCGGATGATATACCTACTCCGCAAATAGTGAGACAAATTTCACTTTCACACAGTATCCGGTAAGAGACTACACATGGGACAAGTAAGCTAGGCCTACTGAAGCGTGTTTAGTATGCAGGGGGCTTTTTGGCATAAGCTTGTGATAATTGACGGCTTGATACTAGTTGCAAATCGGGATAAGGAATCGAAGTAGCATTTGACATTCATAATCTAAAAACCTTAGTAGGGAAAGGATGCATGTTTGGTTGGTTGCGTTGGGAACTAGTTTCTCCCGTTATGCTAGTCGTTTCGGTAACAAGTCGTTTCGGGACATATAAAAAAATATCAAAATACGAATGAATGTTACAAGTTACATTTTTCTTTCCCTTTTCGTAAAAATCGATGTCAACACAGCTTTCGTCGTAGCCTATTTAGCAATAGTAGGCATATGGTGGCTTGATTTACAGTCGATGACCTGTAGTACGATCGCTTGGATAGTTGAGGGGGGGGGGGGGTTCCTGCCGACATTTACCTGATTGACAACATGTTAATTTGATGAAACTTATCCCATTATTAAATGGAGAGGAACAAACACCAAGTACCGAACACGCGGCCAATATCAATTAATTATTTTTACATAATTTCATTTGTTATTGAAGGTTCCTTGTTTGATATCGTGATAACATGTTTTCATTTTGCTTTGTATCTGTATGGAATACACTGCTAGATCCCAATTAAGGTAATATTGCAGCGGGTGAGAGAGTGCAGATGTAATTAACCGCGCGATTCGAGGGCTGATTTAAATGCCTCGATAGTGTCACAATTCACAATTGAGTCACTTAAGTGGTTCGAGTCTATGGTTGTTCTAACTAGGAACAAGTTCTTGTATTGTTCAGACCTACTTGATGTAACTACAAAAACTCTGTTGTTTAAACGGGCTAAACGGTCGACAATGTTGCTGGTATCAAAGTCAGTAAATGATTTGGCACGGATGTTCCTGGCTTGTTTGCGGGCTGGCAGGTATCTCCGAGGTGGTATGGCTGGCACCAACCCCTCAACGACTTTGTAGTAGTAAGACAGCCTGATGTTGCGGCGCCTGTCCTGTAGTGGTGGTATCTTCAGCTCCTTGAGCATCGATGTAACGCATCCCGGGTCTCTGGTCTTGTAGTCTCCCGAGATGAATCTAACGGCTCGGTGTTGCACTCGCTCAATTTTGTTCATGTCTGTGGTGTAATATGGGTACCACACGACTGTACCATACTCTAGAATAGGGCGTATAAGTGATATGAATGCACTGCGTCTGCTAGATGGTGGGCAGCTCCACAAGTTCCTATGTAGGAAGCCTAAGGTCGAGTTGGCTTTTTTGGTGGTGTTATTTATGTGGATGCCCCACTTAAGATCCTCTTGAGATGGTGATACCAAGGTAAAGGTTAGACGTAACCTGCTGGAGGATGGTGTTGTCCAGGCTATAGAAGTGTTTACTCTTACCCTGGATGCTGAGGATGTAGCATTTCTTTGCATTGAACTTCATTCCCCAAGATTTGGCCCACTGTTCCAAGTTTTGAAGGTCTTGTTGAAGAGTAACATAGTCTTGTTGAGATCTGATTGTACGGTATAGCAAACAGTCATCTGCAAAAAGTCTCGTTTGGGATTTCACACTGGCTGGTAGGTCATAAATGCGACACGAAAACAATATCGGACCGAGGATGGTCCCCTGGGGGACACCAGAGTCAACGGTTACTTGATGTGTAGTCTGGCAATCTAATATGACCTGCATAGTCCTAGCAGTAAGGAACTGTGTGAGCCATGTGTGTATTTTACCGTTTACGTATGATGACAGCTTGTGTAGGAGTTTTTTGTGAGGCACAGTATCGAAAAATCTAGTATTGCACAGTCGATCTGGGTGTTATTGTCGTGTGCTTTTAGTAGATCACCATGGTGATAGTTGAGATTCGCAGGAATACCCGGACCTGAAGCCGTGGTTTAAGGTGGTAAGTATATTGTTACCCTCTAAATGTTTCATGAGGTGACGGCAGATAATATGTTCTGGTATCTTGCACGATACGTAAGTCAGTGAGATTGGACGGTAGTTTTCTGCAAGGTGTTTATCTCCCTTTTTAGGTCACCTGAGCTTTAGCTCAAGTGACCTATTGCTATCCGTTTTCGTCCGTCGTCGTCCGTCGTCCGTCGTCCGTCGTCCGTTAACATTTTACATTTCAAACTTAAAGTCAAGTTCTGCTGGGCCGATTGAACTGAAAGTTGGTAGGAATGATCGCCTCATGGTCCTGACAAAGTGTTGTTATTTTTCGGGTCGATCAGAAATCCAATATGGCCGCCACGGCCGCCATTTTGAAAACCTATTTCAAACTTAAAGTCAAGTTCTGCTGGACCGATTGAACTGAAAGTTGGTAGGAATGATCGCCTCATGGTCCTGACAAAGTGTTGTTATTTTTCGGGTCGATCAGAAATCCAATATGGCCGCCACGGCCGCCATTTTGAAAACCTATTTCAAACTTAAAGTCAAGTTCTGCTGGACCGATTGAACTGAAAGTTGGTAGGAATGATCGCCTCATGGTCCTGACAAAGTGTTGTTATTTTTCGGGTCAATCAGAAATACAATTTGGCTGCCATGGCCGCTATTTTGCTACTAAGTTCTAATAGGCCGATCTCACTTAAAATTGGTCTAGGAATGATCAGCTCATGGTCCTGACAAAGTTAAGTTAACATTATACTATTTTTTACTCAAATTGGTACATATTTCAACAACAAAAATAAATATTGTAGGACTCAGGTGACCGTTAAGGCCCATGGGCCTCTTGTTATATACACTGGAAATATTGGCTTTTAGCCAGTCTGATGGTAGTGATCCAGTGTCTAGCGATAACTTAAATACAGCACTAAGGCCTCACCGCAGCCGGAAAGGATCTTATTTGAGATCACGTCTGGACCACAGGCTTTTGCAGTGTTAAGGTTGCGCGTTTGTGACCCCGTTGACTTGGATGACAATGTTTGTTAGTGGATGTCGGATGAGTGCCCTATGTAGTTCTGGTAGGGCCTCGGCTGGGTCCTCCTTTGTGAAGACAGACTGGAATTGACTTAATAATATGTAGACTGTCACTGGTGAGTGTACCTCAGTCTTTCAGGGGTGCGACTCCGATGTTGTCCTGTTTTCTAGATTTTATGAAACGCCCGAAAGGTTTGCTGTCATTGTTTTTGAGTCCTTCGATTCTTCTATCATGTTGTTTATGTAGTTATATTCTGCTTTACGTATGGTTCGTTTGATCTCACGTTGATAATGTCTATAGTAAGACCATGTATTATTGTTCTTTGCTTGTTTATAGAGTCTTTGTTTGCGTCTGAACATTTTCTTGATTTTCCTATTTACCCACGGGAGTGATGGTGGTAGATCTAGACTAGAAAGTCTAGTCAGTATGTTTTTATCCGTGCTGTGTAGGATTCCTGTTTTAAATGTTTCCCATGTTTCGTCAATTGTACCTCCGCTGTTCGCTTTGTCGATGGTGTCGGACGATGTTTTCTTACAGTCCTGTTTGAGTTGGTCCCAGTCTGCTTGTGAATATTTGTAGATTTTGCGACGTTGTTGTTGGTTGTATACCAGTTTAATGTCGATGTCGCCACGATGGTTTCGTGGTCTGACAAGCCTTGCATACTAATTGAGGACTTAACTAGTGTAGGGTTGGATGTGAATACCAAGTCCAACATGTTCTGCTCTCTTGTTGGTGTTTCGTGAATCTGGCTAAGGTTGGTGGATGTTACATCTATTAAAGGCGTCGTCGCTCACGTGTTGGCTTGACCAGTCTCTGTTGGGACAATTAAAGTCCCCAGCAAGCACTGTACTTCTCTGGTTTGGAGTGTTGAAAAGTTAGTGTAACAAGTTGTCGAGATCCTTGATGTCTTTCATTTCCCGATGAGGCATATAGAAATTCCTGACATAAAGGTCTTTGTTCCTCGGTAGTTTTATTTTGACCCATTCGATTTCGCAGTTGGTCACTAGGCGCTGTTCCTCTGATGACACAAGGTTGTCCTTAACTAGTGTAAAGACTCATCCTCCAAATGAGCTGCGGTCATTCCTATAGGCTACGTAATTATCACGAAAGACTTCGCTCGATTTGATGTGCGCAGTTGAGGGTGGTTTTCCAGGTTTCACACCGTGAAGCCATGACTCTGTGGCGCAAACCATGTCTGGTTTAACGTAGTTTAATAGGACCGATAACTCTGACCTTTTGCCTGGTACACTTCTGCAGTTGATGGTCAGTATTCGTAGATTCTGCTTTGCTGGTAGGTCGTAGATAGATTTATTCCGGCTTGACGATGATGATGTGATAGATCTTTTTGATATTCTAGATGTGGATATAGGGCGGTCCCGTTGTCCGGGGCTACTGGTTTTCAACGGACTGAAAGCTTATCAAATGGAATCTATTGTGATGTCTGCTATTGGGTGGAAGTAGTTTGAACACTCGAGTTTGTAGCTATGGAATGTGAATCGTTGCAGTGAATACTATCACGCTTGCAACATAGCCAATTGACGTTTGAATGGTTGAGTAGTTCAAAGCCTTACTATTACTCTATTCCCTATTAATGTTGCCAACTTGATCAAGTTGACAATGACATTTTAACAATATAACACACGATCCACACCAAAAAAACAAACGTAAACACATGTGCTATACAACCCGACATAAACACGTGTGTTAAACAAACAGTAGAAAATAATTGAGATGTCCCGAAACGACTTTTGACATTCCCGAAATGACCCGGAAAAAGGTCCTGAAATGACTGCCGTCTTGTTACCGAAACGACCAGAAACCTGGAAGTTGACTGAAACATACCGTTTATAATTATCCTTGTTTATATAGATACTTTACCTCTGTAAACCAGGTGTATCTGGGTTTGTTAAGACCAGATAGGAAAGTTGAGATAGTTCCAGGCCTGCTTTTAGTCTTGTGCTCACTCCAGTAATCAGGGATGCAATATGACATGGTCATATATATATATATATATGTATTCTATTGTCTACTGTGACATTATAAAACTAAAAGATGTCATTACAAGCAGGGTCTCGTAAAGCAAACAGAACACAAAATATAGAAAATTACAAACTTATATTTAGCACATACATGCAACAACCTTAACACACACATATAGTAACTTATGAAGTTGAGGATATCGATGAAAACTTAACTTGTAGAATATATGTATAAATTAGGAATCTAAGTATAGGCAATCCAAAAATGAAAACAACTATGCAGTAGCAAGATTAAATACCTATTCAGGATCAATCATATACAGCTCACACAAGCTTTTGTCCTAGGACTGCAACGATATGCATATACCTCAGTATAGAATACATATCGGGGTACCCCCCGGTACAATACAAAGTTTTGCTCACACAATTGCAAGCTTTTGTCCTAGGACTGCTACGATATGCATATACCTCAGTATAGAATACATATCGAGGTAAAATACAAAGTCTTGCTTAAAAAGTCAACTTCATGATGATCGAATGCAGGATTTTATTTAGTTTTGTCAGAGACTTCAATAGTAAATTCTTTCGAAAATCAAATACAATTTTGTATTAATAATTTCTGGTACTTTTGGGAATGACTGCACAGTGGACCACATCTTGAATGAAGGATTCCAAAAAATAGAAGTACACTTTTTTTTTAGAGTTTGGTAAAAATAGATTGATAATTTAAATACTGTTGGTATATCTTTGATACGATACACAAGAAAGTGTCGCGATACGATACAGTATATCGTTGCAGTCCTATTGTATCCATTGTCTCTTAACACATTTTCCCTAAAAAAAAAATGAAGATGAATAGAATCTCTCAACCCCTTGTTGGTGAGATTCGAGGCTTTGCTGAGTGTTTTGCAACTTAAGAATTTTTCTCCGAGGGTTGAAATTCCCCTAACTCACCAACAAGGGGGTGAATGATTCTTTTTCTCTTACCCTGTTCTGACCCATTGTGTATCACATTCACGATGTAATGATAACGTTACATGCTAAATTCAGGGTTGCCGTGATGTTGATGGAATGTTGACGTTACATCATTGCATTGTTGAAATGACGTCATACCATTGTTATGAATAGGGGAATCCCCCCGTCTCAACCCTAGGGTGAGACCAGGAAATCTCACACCGGTAAAAGGGTGGATACACCTGTCCAGGGTAACAGAAGTTAATGTCCCTGATGTCGAATGCGTGCCTTGCCTTTATCCCATGTTTGTGTATATGCCACCCTGATGTTGTCATGATATTTGAGTTCGGTTTAACCCTTTCACCCCTATGTAACTTTAGTAGACTCTTCCATGCATTGATCTGGACGAGTCCATTATGGTCTACTTTGGTGAAAGGGTTAAAAGCCAAGCAGTAGTGTACATGTTTTCTCAATATATTAAGATTTCATGTTGGTATCCCTATGTTGACTCATGAAGTTCAGTAAGATCACCCAGCATCTCTTTTCAGATTGGGGTTGAATTCTTTCAAAAAAAAAATGAGTCATGGTAGGTTTAATGTTTACATTCTACAATGGAAATGTGAATGCTGGCCATGGGATTATATATAATTATATCATATTTCTTGTCTTAATTTGGATATAAGACAATGAATGACATTACAGTGTCATGCATACATTGTAAACTTATATATGTGGGTGTTGTACAAAAGCCTTGTGGTAAAATTGTTACTACATACAAACATAATTATTTGTTTATACCATTCTTATCTGGCAATAAGCCCCTGCTTCGTAATAAGCCCACCATTATCTATTGCAGTAATTAGGAAGAAATGCCAACAGAGGCTTTTTCATTGTCCTGTAATTAGCCCATCCCCCTACTGTCAGTCAGAAATTGTGTGGTGGCCCTTTGGACTACGGTAATTGCAGGATAAATACGGTATTGGGTAATTTTTTTTCCTACAAGTGCAACCACACTCTGCACTAATATCAAAGTAAAGAGTGAAAATTGAAGAACACAGGTATCAGTATGTATAGGTGTAAATGCACAAGGAACAACAAATAATATTGTTTTTATAACTATCTAGTACATTGCATCAGTGATTTCTTAAGACACATATTATTGATTCCTCCTAAAATTTCGTCTTTCAAGTATATATGTATGACTCTTAATGCTTTTTGAACCCATATTAAACTTCTTAGTATTGTATGGACTCGTCAAAAAAATGATCAATCAATACTTTGAAAATAAATATTAAGGATTTTGCAGGAAAAAAACCCAATATTGCATTAAAAGATCTAGACATCTGAGTTTCAGTAGTTTTGATTGAAATGTAAATATGGAACAGAACACAGCAGAATCACATTTTTTTTTCTTCAACAAAATTTTTGCAAGCCATAATATAGCCTGACTCACTGAATTAGGAAAATATCAGGTGTTAGAATTTATTGTTGACTGTTTTTCTGTTGTAGGTGAAGACACTATGACCTGATAGATATACACACTTTGTCCACTCAAGGACAGAGTGACTGCGTATGTGGATCTAATAAAATGTAAGTAAACATAGGGAAGAGAGATGGCCTACTGTATTCCACTGCATGATAGGGAGAGGCTCCACTTAAAAAAAAATCAACATTTTGCCAACCTCCATTATCCATAGACTGAAGTATGTGTACCTACCCTTTAGCCATTGGATAATTTTTCCATTTTTTTCCCGGAGGTGTGGTGGCCATGGGGCTAATATGATATTATGTACTTGAAAAACAGTTAATGTCAGATATGTCCCATGTAAAAATGTTAAGATGCAGATAAAGTTAGATATTGATAACCTTGTGTTTCAAGTAGTTGGATGAACAAGTGAAAGGTTTGTAGGGTTTCAAATTAACTCGTGCCAACTTGCTAAATTTTAGTTGAGTTCAACTATTGAAAACGTTTTTTAAAAAGAAGGTTAGTGTCAACCGCTGGTATGGACGGTTATTGCATTTAAAGCTTAAGTTCTTTGGAATTTTTCCCATCAAGGGCAAGACGGCATCCATTTCAATCTATGTCTTATCAACTAAATGATAGATACATAGAAGCTTACTAGCAAGTTTCATATCCAGAGGTTAAAATACACGGGAGGGCTTGAAGTTTTTACACAATTTTTCATCAACAATAACATATATTCTCTATAGACTGACTGTAAGCAAGATTCAAAATTTAGGAACACTTTATCTCAAATTTTGTTGTTTTTCCAGTTGATATTTAAATAAATAGAAACAATTGGCACATAACAAGATCAACTGTAACTATAAACATAAACAAATTATAATTTTGTAAAAAAGAAAAGTTGTGGTTGTTTCAGTGTGACCAAATGGTTGACATCATGGCTACGTCTCAGGGGCAGAGCCAGGTGTCCGAGGCTCTCATACAGTATGTTCAGAGGGACCTGAAGGACAAACAGAGTCTGGTGGTTCCTGAAGGCAAATACAAGGGCTGGGTTCCCCGGAGTCTCTACAGCCTGGAATTGGACAAGGTTTGTCTCCCCTTCCTTAGACTCCAGTCGTTTCCTGTAGGTGGCACTTCCCTAGGCACTTTGACTAAAATGAAAGAGTTTGAAGCGGTGGGAAACTATCTATTCAAGCTTCCATCAGCATTCGGGAACTGTAAGGATTTGAAAACATTAAATCTAAGTTTCAATTACTTCAGCCGTCTGTCGCCATCTGTTTTCAACTTGGAAAATCTGACTGATTTGAATGTTAGTAACAATGAATTAACAGAGTTATCTCCTGATGTTGGCAAACTGAAAAACTTGAAAACTTTGAACCTGAGTGGGAACATGCTGTCGGCAGTTCCTATCGAGCTCTCCAGATGTAAAAACTTGGAGAACGTAAATCTCTCCAGGAAGTGGTACCCACGGGACGGTGGAATGACAGAGCTACCTGCTGCAGCCTGCGACCTACCAGAATTACGACAACTTGACGTTAGTTGGCATCAAATTCATACCATCCCTGACAATGTGGGCTCTCTCACCAAGTTGCAGTATCTCAACATGAAAGGCAACTTCTTGAAAAATGTATCTGAAAATATCATACAATGTGTTCGTCTACAAGTGTTAGATTTATCCGGAGCTATGAAACTCAACTCAGTGATTCCTGAGCAAATCCTGATGCTCTCGGAACTAAAAGTACTTAATTTAAGTGGCAACTATTTCACTGAGCTACCCAAAGAGGTGGCTGGCCTGAAAAAACTAGAAAAATTTGTGATGCGAAGAAATGCATTACTACGACTGCCTGATGCTATTTTTGACCTAGTATTCTTAGAAACTCTTGAACTCAGTGACAACTACTTATATGAAATGCCACCAGCAGTTGCGAATTTGAAAAACATTCGTTATATAGACCTTCAAGGGAACAAGCTGACAAGTTTACCGAACGAAATCGGCAGGTGTTTCAGTCTAGTAAGCTTGTGTGTAGCAAGCAATGAGCTAACGAGTGTGCCAGATCACATATGTAGACTTTCTAAACTAGAGGAACTCGGTTTAGAACACAACCAATTGAAGGAACTTCCAATGTTGCTGGATAAATTAACTCTTCTTGAAAAAACTAGGCGCCTCAGTGTGTACGACAATTATCTTACAAAACCACCTCAAGAGATATGCAATCAAGGGGTTATCTCCCTTTTCCGCTTCTTGAAAGAAATGAGAATTTGTGAGGCAAAACATCGTCGTAAGATGATTCTAATTGGAGCAGCAAAGGCTGGAAAGACAAGCTTGAGGAATGCCTTGATGCTAGGTCACTCCAAACTGACTGCTGAGCACGAGAGGACATGGGTCTTAGAGCGTCATCTATGGGAACCTGAGCCAAGCCTTCGTGTGCAGATCCTGGACTTTGGGGGTCATCACATCTATTCTGCTGCACATCACATGTTCTTGACCCCTGAGGCCCTGCATCTGGTAGTGTTTGACCTCTCCAATTATGAAGAGGAAAAATATGACACTATGGTAGGGGATTGGATTGATGCCATCGCCGATCGTGCCCCAGGGGCACATATCATGGTGGTGGGTACACATGAAGATCTCTGCTCCAGTGATGACGTCAAGTCACGCATCAATCATATCTTACAGAAGATGAATGCTGATGAGAAGGCAAAGATTGATGATCTCAAGTTTTCTCTGGAGAAAGCCAAGACAGAGCTTATGAATCTGACGGGCAAAGAAAGCAATACTAAATTTGAGGATATTGAGGCCCAGAGGAAGCGAGACAAAGTTAGTGGTCTGCAGCGCGTGTTAAATATGCGTGTGACATTAGCCAGTAGGGTTGAGGTTGTCAGTTGTGCTGACACACTAGATGGTGTGGACAATTTGCGTGCCTTGCTGCAACAGAAACTAAAGGAGACAGATGAAAAACCCCTCCCTAAGTCCTGGTATAAATACTTGCTGGGAATTCAGAAGAAAACACAGAAAATCCTGCACTGGCCGCAGGCATTGAAAATCTTTGAAGAAATTATGGACACCATGAACCAGTCAATGATCTCTCTAGAGGGGTCCGCAGAGTCCAGTTTGGAAATGGTACTGCGATACCTCCACTCCACAGGCGAGATCGTCTGGTACCATGACAACCCCCGTTTACGCAGTATCATCTTCCATCGCCCTGAAACACTTGTCGAAATGTTGAGGGCCATCTTTAGGCATGACTTTGAGAAGGTTGTCCAATTCAATGACACTTATGGCAGACTAGCCAATATAAGTCTGCACAAGTTTGAGGAGATGAAAGCCGACTTCTTGGAGCAAGGTTTGATGACAGTGGAGCTGTTGCACTACTGTTTGTTACACTTCCAGCTAACCACAGATGCACGTGACATGTTCATTGACCTCATGCTCAAGTTCGACCTGTGTTATGAGGTGCCAAAGCTAGCTGGGGCACCTATGACATTTGCATCCAGCAGGATCCTCCGATTCCCCTGGTTCCTGAAAAGTGAAACACCACAAAATCTTGCGATACAGTGGCCATTAGCGATTCCACCAGATATTATTCAATTATGTTTCCGTCTTCAGTTTAAGAAGAAACTGCCACCAAACTTATTCGAGAAATTCTCTGCTCGTCTTCAAACTCACATCACAGATCGATACGACTGGAAGAATGGAGTGTTGGCCACTAGAAATCGCACAAAGTTACTTGTTACGAGGGAGACAGTGGATGCACCGACTGGTGTTCGTGTGGACGTGTCTGTGTCTGTGCGTGGGAGTGATCTGCAGGAGCTTTGGTTAGTGATGCTGCGGACCTACGGTGACGTGATCGTTCTGCTACAAGAATGGCCCTTCACTCGGTACGAACAATGGCTGCTGTGTTCGCATTGTTTGATAATGGGAGATGACAACCCCTTCCTCTACCCTGGAGAGGTGCTTCAGACTTTGTGTCCTCGAGGCCATTACCAGTTAACATCCTGTAAGAAGGCCAAAGACATACCTATTCCTGCCTGCTTCCTCTTTCCCCTTGATCCAGGTAAGTTAAAAAAAAGATAAAAAAAATCTGAAAATGCTTAAAGACTTTCTGAAAATTCAATGAAAATTTGTATCGACACATGTATAAACCTGTTTATTAAATATAAACTTTAAACATACTTATTTAAGCTCACTCAAATTTGAGCACATTATTTAGTTTTAACAGATTAGTGCATTAATCCATTCAAATGAATATTTGGCACACCCTGAATATATATATATGCAATAAAAAACAATATACATATACTTCAACTAATGCGATAAAAAATCAGCACCATATATACAAAGCACGAAAAGTGCTAGCTCTAAAATAAAAAATAGGTACAAATAAAAATATGATACAAATGTGATGTTCTTTAATTAGATTACCAGGAAGACATAGCAGAACACATCAAGGTGGTGAAGGAGTTCCTACTCTCTACCTACGATAGTGTTGATGGAGGAGGCAATTATATACAAAGTAAGTAGGTATTGAACATGTTTTCTTCACCTGGCTCAAAGGTCTATTCAAAGTGAGCACACAGGGTTTGGTACATATATATATGCTACTAGTTATGCTGTGATGTGCTGCTTTAAAGATTCTTATACTCCCGCATCCTAGATATCCAGGGGTTACGCTCACTTTTGCTCTCTACACCCCTGCAAAATGTTCGTCATTGCTCAGTCTACTCTAAAAATTCCAGAATGCACATGAATTTTTTTTTTTTTTTACTTTTCAGATTCGTGATGATAAGTCAAGCACCAAACTGGTCACTGCTAATTTTAGTAAATAGAAAATATTTGCCATCAGTATTTATGGAACCTTATGCAAGAATTCAACACTAAGATATCTAACTGGCACAATAGTATTGATATTCAGTGAATTGAATTGTATTGTTACCTGACTCGCTATATAAATGCATATTAATCAATTTCGACTGTTTCCCAGATAATTCACCAAACGAACTATAGCTAATGTGTGCTACCGTAAAACTGTTGACTGGTCACCGTAAAACTGTTGACTGGTCACGTGAAACTGTTGACTGATCACATGTTAGGTAATCGAACGCACCTATAATTAAAAGCACCCCGATGACCAAGCATTTTTGGTACTGGATTGTTGACGGTTGTCTGTCGGTAGATCTAAACATCACATTCGACATAGAACTTTTTGGTTTTTCATTGGTCAAGTAACAAAACAGTTGTTTCATGCCATATCAGTCAACAGTCAAAACCATTTTCCCTCGGAGTTGGGACCCACCAAATGAACTGTTTCCCTCGGCCTGCAGCCTCGGGAAACAGTTCATCTGGTGGGTCCCAACTCCTCGGGAAAATAGTTTTGACTGTTGACTGATAAGGCATGAAAGAACTGTATACTGTTAAGGTCATTGGAGTGTATTGATAAACGGAAACAGGAAGTACATCCCTAGTTGAAAAACCAATGTAGGGAGACAGCATCACAATTTCCACAAATGATAATGTTTAATATTAAATTGATGAATATTGTATGTTTATTATTGACAGAACAGTGTGTTATCTCAATATTAAAGTAGTCCAAAGCAATCCGATATTAATTCAGGTTTTTTTATCAATGAGTCACATGTGTCCATTTTTCTGTACTTCAGGAAACCGGCTACCTATTTCACTACTGTGAAGTTTTTCAAGAACGATAACTCTTACCTGCAATTACTATGTGTATATGGTTTTATTATAAAATGTCAATTTTTATATCGTGTATAGAGAATTAATTTTACACAATTTCAGAATTTATTGAATTGATATACATTAATGCAATACTGCTATATGTCAGTATCATTTTTATTGACATTATTTTTAAAAATATTGTGTCTTTCATTTTTTTTTCAAAATTCACTCCTTTTTACATAAATTTCCATTTAAAATCCTTAAAATTCTGACAACCTATATTTTTTTTCTGGCAGAAATTTTTCTTTACTTTAAAGCAATATAATTACAAAATTTGAAGAAATTCTACTGAGAAATGGTGACACTATCCTATTACCTTAATAAAAACTTTCATAACTAACCTAATAAAAACGTTTGGTTATCTGTGTGTTTGTAGTTAACATTGTTGACTGTACCTGCAAATATTTGATTTCTGACCATTTTTACAGGGCTGCTGTCCAACCTGGGTCTAAGCTACATCGCAGCGAGATCTGGTGCTGAGTGGTCACTCATGGCCCTAGCCTTGGGACTGACCCAGCCAGAGATAGAACAGATCCAGCTGGACAATCCCTACCAGACAGTCAAGCAGACTACTACAGCCCTGGTTCGTTGGCGGGATCGACAACACAACATGTCGGAGGAGGCCGTTCTCAATAAGTTACTGACTGCTCTACAGACCGCCGGCAGACAGGACCTGGTGGAAGATCTGGAGGAGAAGTTCCATATACAAGGTACTCTCCCCCACCCCACCCCCTACACTTGATATGGCCCCCACACCCCCCCCCCCCCAACCCTGATTTGGCACCCCCCCCCACCCCCCCCCCTACACTTTATATTTCCCCCCCCCCCCCACCCCCCCCCCTACACTTTATATTTCCCCCCCCCCCCCCCAACCCTGATTTGGCACCCCCCCCCACCCCCCCCCCCCCAACCCTGATTTGGCACCCCCCCCCACCCCCCCCCCTACACTTTATATTTCCCCCCCCCCCCCCCTATTCGTACTTCCTCCCCCCCCCCCCCCCCTTCTCCCCCCCCCCCCCCCTCCATTTTTCCCCCCCCCCCCCCCTCCCCACACCTTATATGTCCCCCCCCCCCCCCCAATTTCCCCCCCCCCCCCCCTCCATTTTTCCCCCCCCCCCCCACCCCCCCCCCCCCAACCCTGATTTGGCACCCCCCCCCACCCCCCCCCCTACACTTTATATTTCCCCCCCCCCCCCCCTCCATTTTTCCCCCCCCCCCCCACACTTTTTATTTTCCCCCCCCCCCCCCCAATTTCCCCCCCCCCCCCACACTTTTTATTTTCCCCCCCCCCCCCCCTCCCCACACCTTATATGTCCCCCCCACCCCTACACTTGATATGTCCCCCACCACCACCACCATCCCAAGTTAGCACTGTAGACATTAGGATTATAAGATTAAACTCAAAATATAAGTCTAGGTAGTTCAAAGCTGATTCATCCTAAATACTCTAGGGATTACTCTCACTTTTTCTCACTGCATCATTGGAATATGTCATAGCAAAACTGAAGGCAAGCAAGCTATTTGATTGGTAAGAAAACCTGACTGATCGCTAGGCGGATACCTGAACTTTGAAGATTACAGAGGGGCATAACCTGACTTCAAAGCCAGCCCATTTTACCGTTACACGACCGTCCGATTCTTTTGATGTATATTAAAGGATCAAACTAGTCTTCAAGTCTCATCCACAAGGTGGCACACACTGAGCCTTAGATTTTGTGATGACGTATTCCAAGGGTGTAGAGAGCGAAAGTGAGTGTAACCCCTGGAGTAGTGAGGATGAAGTTGATTAGAATATTTACGAGTCCTTCTTTGATATTTGTTTTTAAGAGATCTCTCAGTGTCTGCTGAAGGCAGCATCCGCAACACTTTGCATTCAGCGAACAGAAGCCTAAATTGGCCACCAACACTTTCTATTGCGGTGGAAGTACATATTGTAAATGTAATAATAATGTTTGAATCGTTTGCTAATGTTTATGTACTTCCAGCAGGAATATCCTTACCTGGTATTAAGTTCTTCCATCAGTCAAATGATATTCTCATTGTATCAATTCATTGTAACAAGTCCAAAGTCCATAGTTGTGCTTTGGTGCCATGACGAATAGAGCTTGTTATCTTATATTACTTTCTGGCTACACTGCAACAGGTACAGTTTTTGTCAGAATTTTTCACCCGACAAATTTTACATTTAAAAATTACACAAACCAGTTGGTACTCCGTACCTAGACAAAGTCCAATGTCCTTACTAACTCTCTACTTTATTTTATTTTATTTTCAGTGAATAATTAGAAGGACTCTACTACCTCATACTCCATCAAATCTTCAGAGATTTCTTCGGTGGTGTAATCAGGACAACTTTCCCCAAGAGATGCTGGTTGCCAGGACAACTTAACTTCATGAAATCTGATGGCTCGGGATTCAAGAAAAAATACTATATCCTAGTACAGATTGGTGGGAATCACCTTGCTATATTATTGACGAACACACTGTTAGGTCAGTTTGATGGCAAATAAGGAAATATGTGCAGGTATTAGGTCTATATAAAAGTTACTGGTCAAAGTGACTCTATCAAATGTTCGGGGAAACTTAAAGTGTTAAAGGTATGCATTTAACTCATTCACCCCTGAAGACACATTTGAACTCTTCCTATTCAAAGGTTGGAATAGTTCTTTATTAAATTTCAGGGGTGAAGAATGAGTTAATTGTTGTCATATGGTCAGGAGATAGGTTTATGTGTTCATACTGATGTGTGAAATCTTAAATTATTTCTAAAATTATAGTTCTATATATTCCTGTCCAGACCTGGAAAGTCTGTAAAACCAAACCCTAGACAGTAACATTTCAAAAGAATCACCCTTTATTTAGTGGCAATTCTTGCGGCATTGATCCAGGATATTAGCTATTAATTGAAATTTATTGTGAAAATCTGAAAAGAATCATTGATGGTGTTTTGCTGTAAAGATTTGTGAACCTGGAGTGGACCCTTAGTTTTGAAAGAAACAACTGAAAGTCATTTCATTGGAAACATGAAAATGATTAAAATCAATTTATTGCAGGTTAAAAGAACAGTTTATAGGTATTTGCTAGTTTTCTGGACCCGGTCGGTCAAAGGTTGGTTAGAGGTTACCAATGGTTAGAGACAGTTTTGAATTATGCCTTAACCCTTTCACCACTGTAGACCATAATGGACTCACCCAGATAATTATATGGTAGAGTCTACTAAAGTTACCTAGGTGTGAAAGGGTTATAAAAAAAATCAAGAACATCTTATTTTTAGTTATATGATTCCACTTATATAGTTTTGTTAAGACAGATCAGATTGATGAGTTTTGAGGAACTATGTTTCTCTGATAGGCCTTACTCCCTATTGATAACAACATGAACTTTTCACTAACCACAGGTTAAGGGTAACTCACCTTTGAGCAACTGGGGCCCGGTGATATCCAGTTCTCATGGCAACTACACTTTAAGTGCTGACATACTTTTTATACTCCTTGATTTATGTGTGGCCTACTATTGTGATAAAATCTCTGTGTGATGTGAGACTGTATTTAAGGTAATTGTAAAAACTGATGTATAAAAATGTATTTTGTATGTCTTCGGTGTAATCTTTGATTTTACACTGGGATATATTTCTGTGTTTGTGTCAGCTGGAGGTAAACCAATTTCTCACCGTTGAATTTACAATTTCAATATTACTGCTGTCGTGATTAATTATCAGAATCAATGTGAACATGGCAATGCAGAAAGAGAAACTGTTCACAGAATGACGAGAATGTGTAGAACGGTCTATTCTTAGAATTGCGATTTGAATTTATATTTATCAGCGTAGGAAGGTGTTTGTCAATACGTAACATGCAGATCTTTGACAAATGATTTTTTTTTTTTGATATAGAATATATTTTTATTTTTTTAAATCAACCTCAGCCAAGAGATCATGTGCGAGGATTTTGGTCATGATCAACTTTTTTTTTTTTTTTTTGGAATGATTCCTCTGAAGATTATATTTAAAGAACTTTTTATATCATGTGTGTCATCTTTTGTGAAAGCTTGTACTTAAATATACTGATAGGTCTTGTTAAATGATACTGCCAACAGTGGTCCATTTGTTCTACTGTCCAGCTGTTGTCCAACATAGGAATCCAATTGTTTCACACTCCAATCACTTTGGAATGAAGTTGACTAGATTAATGACACTCACCTTGATTTTATTGGTTCACATGTACTCTGACTACTTATACTTCTGTCAGGTGGCCGAGTGGTTAAGGCGTCTGACATTCTGCTACCACTAGCCCTCCAACACTGGGTCGCAAGTTTAAGGCCTGTGGGGTAGTTGCCAGGTACTGCCGCAGGTCAGTGGTTTTTCTCTGGGTTCTCTGGCTTTCCTCCACCACCAAAACCTGACACATCCTTAAATGACCATAGCTGTTAAAAGGACGTAAAACACAAAACAAACCAAAATATACTTCCATCAACTTTTGAAGCAATTTGAAGCGGCCTTCCAGTAATTGAACATCTTCTATCATCTACATGTTAAGATATGGGTAATGGGCATTACCTCGGTATTGGAAAAGTTTCTATTACAGTGGTCTAAATATCCTGTTTTATTGGACAAGTATTTGTACAAATGTATTGTTATTTTTTTCTCGATGCAATTTTTAACTGTTTGCATTAATCAGTTATGTGTTAAAAAATGCTGTGTTCAAATTTCATGAGATGTTTAAAATGCACAATATGGTAGATATTAAAGTTTGCCAGAAAAATAATGAAAAAGTTCAAGTTCTACGCAACATTGTAATATTTCAGGAATACGATGTATGCTTCAGTCACTATCTGTGATCATGTGATGTAAATGTAGCAATTGATTTTCATCCCATCCCCCATAAAATGAGGGGAGGGGCACATATAATGCTACTCGATCCCATCCTGTCCTGTTGCGATTCATTGTCATGGTTCTACTTCAATTATTAACAGAATTTTATCAAATTTTATACAAAGGTCAGTTATGAGACGACCTAGGATGACTTCCTGGGTCTTATCTACTTGGAATTCAACATGAGCAATATAAGAAATACCTCAGATGAGTTCACGGATCTCCTTACTTATCAACAGATTTCCATCAAAGTTTCTACAAATGTCGGGTTTTAGAACACCTCGGATGTGTTCATGTTTCAGTTCCCCAAGGTCAACACCAAGGTTATGGTTACTATTTATAGGTCAGTCTTTGGTATTGTTTTGACAGTTAACCCTTTCACCACTGTAGACCATAATGGACTCACCCAGATCAATGCCTGGTAAAAAGTCTACTTAAGTTACATAGGGGTGAAAAGGTTAAATGAAATGACATTGGGGGGGGGGGGGGGGGGGGGGGGAAGGTGGCATTCATATCTTACATACTTTGTTAAATTACTTGAGAGATACTTCTGTGACTGATGTTTGAAGAATATATTATGATATTTTACGTAATAACCTAAGTTGATTTTTATGCACGGTTCTTTTTTGCAATACCTGGTACAAACAGATAGTTCCTACTGTAACCCGGTAAATATTTTGCTGGAGGAGCCTTTGTTAAATTTTCTTATTCTTGCTTGTATTGGTTTTGTCATACAGGTAAGCATTGTGTGAATTCTACAAGGGGTATTCATCTATGTGTGTATTCATTGTACATGCCAATTAATACTCTCATCATCATTCCAGGTTCATTCGACCATAACGTGCGTTACTTATAGTATTCAGTACCAAACCTGTTTCTATACATACATAGAAACTACTTTGCATCGATACATTGTTCCTTGTAGAATAATTAATAAGTAAACAAGCTGCAATATCACTGACAGTCAGAAAATGAAAACAGCTTTGGTAGAAACATCATTCATTGTAGACTATTCATAAAGTATCACATCAGGAAAATTTAAGGGCATATGCCACCTTACCCAGATTTGCTGTTCAATTCCAAAAGAGTTCCTAACTATGAAAACTTACTTTTATTATAATTGGTAAAATGAATTGATGACACATTCTAATGATAAGTTAGAATGCCACTATGATCCTTCAGTAATTATTCCAAATGAAAATTTAATTTCTGATTTTATAAGTTTCTGAAGGGAGAAAACTCTTCTGCAAATTTTAATGGTAAAAGGTAGCATATTTCCTCAAGTTTCTGCAAAATGTGTTACATGTATATATCAATGATGATAATACTCATGCACTAGTCAATTTCATCAAAATATAAACGATATTTTCTAGCTCAACCAATAACACTTTAGAATATATATACAAATATATGAAATAAAGTCATTTCTTTGGAATTTCCTCTGTATCATCTACAGTTCTATATAGAAACACTCCTGGAAGCTTTTAATATACCCAGGTAATAATCACGTATAACCTATTATTAGACCAGATATTAGCTGTTAAAAACTTCCAATTTTACCCAAATAGGATATTATATGTATAGACCACAACGGGGTGTAATGTCAGCATGTATACAAGTATATGACGCCTGTTTTTGTCTCTTGGAAACTGATTTCTTCAGAAAATCACAGAAAAACAGTATTACGTGGATTATGTTTTTAGAATAAGGACACATTGTTAGGGTAGAGTGTATAAATATATATATATACATTTACTGTTATGGTATTTAGTTGTAGAACAGGCCATACAGATATTGAAGAGGAAGAAATAGTTGAAATTATGATATGTTCTTGAAAAGTGCTTAAATCTCATATTATCTTTTTTTTTTTGTATGAAGTTCATATATATAACTGTTTAGTGGCCTCATTGAATGGTAGCCACATGTTTTGTACATATTTTTATCATGTAACTCGATGTTATGAATGACATTGTTTTGTTTTCCAGAGCTGCTTTCTCTATATGATAGAGTAAGTGTGAACTGGCACATGTAATGTTATAACTTTAAGACCAGTGTTACATAATATTGTTATAAAAGAGGAAAACACAACAATCTTGAAGTTGTGGGCAGACAAAGTTTCATGTTCAATCAATTTGACTTAAAGTTGGACTTGATCTGTTTGTTTACGGTGAAGGAAATTTCCCAAAACTTGACAGCAATATTATTTTGATGCTTTCATCCTGCCAGACTTAAATCTTGAACATGTTAAAAGTATATGAATATATCACACTGCATAAATGAAAGCCCATCCTTGTTCTGTGTGTAAAAGGTTGGCGAAGGGAGATAACTCTTTATTTTTTCAATATCTGTTATTTCTACATTAATAAGTAAATCTTTATTTAATCATGAATATTTCTTTTAAATGTACATTGTAATTAACCATATACAGCGTATGAAGGGTAACCACATTTTGAAGTATATATTCAAGAATAAGTACCTTTTTACGAAAACGGTTTTGTTCAGATCTAAAGGATGATGATATTACGTATGAAAGACAGGCCTCTTGTTGTTTTCCAACCGATAAATCAAATTTCATTTTTATCTTATGAATGGGTACTTTGTATAATCAGTTTAATTTATCATTTTTCAATGTGTGTTTATGCTCATTGCAGCCTGGAAACTGTTTCTGTTGTCATAATACTGTACACTTAGGAAGATGTACTAGTAGTGTCACAGTTTTGTATATATACAGAAACATATTTAAAAGGTATATTAGGCCTTGTCGTCATATGCTAAAATTGATCACTGTTTCATTTCATAGTGATTTCCTTGTCCCAGACAGAATATTGAGATCTATATCCGTGCTAAATACTCCTGTTTCTATGTCCAATTTGTTGTGGTCCCAAATCTTTTCAAGATATAGAATCCTCAATTCTTACCTCAGTACAGTCAGAGACATGGGTTACATTCGCGTATAGGTGGCGCAGAAATATTCCACGATAAACGATCGCACTTAAACCGTTCTATAAGCAGAGCTAAAAATGCACAATTTCGGAAAAACAAAAAAAAATATATATCAAGAATATTATGCCCTTCTTTCATGCGTCCACTGAATAAGGTAACGTATCTTGATAACTACTCGTGGCTTGACATTGTTATAGAAAGAAATAATGCAAACTAGCTATAGTCAGCACAAACTAGATAGTCGGCATAATTTTTTTTAGTTTCGGTCAGGTACGCCTGGACCCCTCAATCTACATATAAAATTCTCCTGAGGTCAGCCTCGGTTCAGATCTGTGCCTGTCGTTTTCTTTACAGGTTCAATCGGTTCAACCGTATACGCGAATGTAGCCTATGATAAAGCCATAGTATATATGTCTCTGGTACAGTTGTGTGTTAGATATTAAGTTATGGGGAAATCCAAACCAAAGCAGTTCTTATGAATTGATGACTGTTAAGTCACTCTTTAAAATGTCTTTGTGAGCTTCATGACTTCATAATTATATCT